CTCGCTCGCCGTCTCGCTCTCGGTCACTCATGGCTGCGCTAAGGTAGAAAGAGGAGAGAGCGGCGAAGAAGAGAGAAGCAGAAAGGAACAAATGGACTAGGGTTTGGAGGGCGCGGCCGCGGGCGGGGTTTTGTTCTCCCTATCCGCGCGCGCGACCGTCCGATCAGAATCAACGGCGCATATCAAATCGGGCCGTCGCTGGCCCAGGCGGGCGCGAGCGCGCCGCGGCACTTTGCCGGCCCAGGCCTGGGTGCGGCCTATGCGCGCGTGGACAGATGGGCCGAACTAGCTTTTGCCAGTTTTGGGCCGAGAAAGAAAGAAATGAGCCCGTATTTTCCTTTTTTCTTTTTTTGGAAAATTGAAAATGCAAATTGGCTCAAGAAAAATAGAAAAAGTAAACCCGGCGTCGGCGGATTTTTATTCGCAGACGGACGGCGTAGATTCACTGGACCTGGATTTGGCCCAGGCGGGATAGAGCGCGAGGCCGAATTCCCGGCCCAGGCCCAGGTTGCGGCCTGGGCGCGGGGGAGCGCGCGGGAAGGGCGCATACGGCCGTGGGCCGTGGGCCGCCTTGTCGTTTTTGGGCCGAAGGAATAGTACAGAAAAGAATGAGTTTTTCCTTTTTCTATTTCCAGTAAATGTTTATTTCCTGGAAATTAATTAATGGGTTAAAGAAAATAGAAAATATAATTTTTCCCTATGGGTAAAATTCAAGAAATTGAGTGAAAGTTTTTCCGCTGCTAAAGAAATTGTTTATTCTCCAGTTATTTTGAACCAATGTGGTATTTAATTGGAGAAAAAGAGATTTAACATGATTATGATGTTGTTATTTTCTGACCAACGTTGTTAATAACAATATCATAATTTAAATGATTTATGCATTAATTCTACTTCTGCCCAACGGTGATGTAGAATTAGTGTATAAGAACAGATGTTAATTTTAATGATTTATGCATTAATTCTATTTCTGCCCAACGGTGATGTAGAATTAGTGTATAAGAACAGTTGTGAAAGTTAAAGATTTATGCATTAATTCTATTTCTGCCCAATGGTGATGTAAAATTAGTGTATAAGAATAATTATATGTTTTGATTTTGACCAATGTTGGAATCAAGGCATGCAAATGGTGTTAATTTTATGTTAAGAAAAGATTTGACCTGGTTTTCATCTTGTTTGAGGTGGACTGGGTAGTCACCTCACCGTGATCCACTGAGTTTGTGGCACCGGTGAGGGAGACAAAAGAGAATGATGCCACTTGAGCAACTAAAGAGAGGGATTTTGAATCCCAAAAGATAGTCCTATGACTTTTGTGCATAGGAAGTGGGTCACTGCCAACAAGAAATGTTTGGTTGTGATAAAGAACATGATTGAACCTGCAATTATGGGCTCAATCCCAGAGTGTGACACGGTCACCGAGTACCTCAATAGAATAAAGAGTCAGTTCACTGACTCTTCAAAGACATATGCTACCCAGCTGATAAAGTAGCTGGTGACAGAGTGTTACTCTGGAAATGGTGGCATAAGAGAGCTCACGATGCGTTGTCGAAATTATGGCACTATCATTCAGGCCATATTTCGAGGGGGAGAATAGAAAGACTAGTTAAGAATGATATTTTTCCTCCATTAGAGCTCTCAGATTAAGAACAATGCAGAGAATGCATAAAAGGAAAGTATGTAAAGAAAGATGACAAATGAAGCGCAGGAATTTTATAGATTATTCACACAGACATCTATGGTCAGCTTTCCTATAAAGAGTGTGGATGGTTATGATTTGTTCATAACATTCACAGATGATTACTCCCATTATGGCTATATTTATCCAATCAAAGAAAGAAAAGATGTATTGGATAAATTTAAGATATTAAAGATTAAGATAGTCAAGTCTGATCGTGGGGGAGTACTACGGTCGGCATACCCTAAAAGAATGGCATAGTAGCCCAGTATTCTACAACGGACAAACCTCAGCAGAATAGAGTAGCTAAAAGATTCAATCGTACCCTGATGGATACGGTGGGCAGTATGATAAGTTACTCCACCTTACAGTTGAGCCTGTGGATGGAGGTGTTAAAAAAAACCCCATTCATATTCTCAAAAGAGCACCAAGTAAGTCGGTGCCCAAAACACCGTATGAGTTATGGACAGAAAGAGTACTCTCACTAAACCACTTGCGTGTGTGTGAGGGAGCCCTGCTGAGGCTAAAGTATTTAACCCAAACATTGAAAAGTTAGATCCCAAAACAGTAAGTTGTCATTTGTTTGGATACCTAGAAAAGTCAAAAGGCTTTCATTTTCTACTGTCCAGAGAGACATATAAAGTTTGTGGAAACGAAACACGCTGTCTTCCTAGAGGATGAATTGATGAGGGGGAGCATGGTAGCTCGAGAAATTGATCTTGAAGTGAAGCGGGTGTATGCGCCCACTCCAATGATTCATGAACCATTTTTTTCTCACTACCTGTTGTCGCTGCACCGACAGTACTAGATACTGTGGTGCCAGCACCTGTTGTTATCCCACCTGTGGCAACAATGAATGACGATGAGGAACCTGTTCTTCAGGATCCTAAAGAACCTATTGCCACACATGAGGGGGAGCAACAACAGTCTCAAACAGAAGATGTGCCAAATGTGAAGGCACCTTGAAGGTCTCAAAGAGTTAGAAAATCAGCTATTCCTGCTGATTATGAAGTGTACAACACTAAGGAATTTCAAATGGATGATGATTCCACCTCATTTGAAGAAGCCATGAGAAGTGATCATTCATCAAAGTGGCTTGAGACCATGGAAGATAAAATAAAATCGATGAATGCCAATAAAGTTTAGGATTTGGAAATAATTCCTAAAGGAGCCAAAACAGTAGGCTGTAAATAGGTCTACAAAACAAAACTTGACTCTCAAGGGAATATAGAGAAATATAAAGTGCAACTTGTGGCAAAAGGCTATATGCAAAGAGAAGGGATTGATTACAATGAGACCTTTTCTCCAGTCTCATGTAAAGTTTCCTTTAGAATTATAATGGCATTAGTGGCACATTACGATTTACAAATTACATCAGATGAATGTAAAGACAGCATTTCTCAACAGGAACTTGGAGGGAAATGTTTACATGGCACAACTGAAAGGTTTTGTCATGGAAGGAAAAGAACGAATGGGATGTCGCCTAAAGAAATCCATTAATGGATTAAAACAAGTTTCAAGAAAGTGGTACTTGAAGTTTGATCAGACAATAAAGAATTTTGGGTTTAAAGAAAATATAGAGGACAATTGTGTCTATGCAAAGTTTAAGAATAGGAAGTTTATCTTCCTTGTTCTATAAGTGGATGATATCTTACTTGCTAGTAGTGATGTTAGTCTACTACAGGAGACAAAGAAGTTTTGTCCTCAAAATTTGATATGAAAGATCTTGGTGAACATTCGTTCGTTCTAGGGATCGAGATTCACCGAGATAGAAGAAAAAGGGTATAAGGACTGTCACAAAAGGCATACATGGAAAAGATCTTAAAGAAATTCAGTATGCACAAATGTAGTCCCTCACCTGCTCCTATAGTCAAGGGCGACAGATATGGGGATTTTCAATGCCCCAGAAACCAATATGAGCTCAATTGATAAAGTGAAAGTGGTTCCATATGCTTCAGCTGTCGGAAGCTTGCAACATGCTTAAGTATATACGCGCCCTGACTTGGCATTTGTTACCGGGTTTTACTTGGCAGATTCAAGAGCAATTCTGGAATAGAACACTGAAATTAGTAAAGAAAGTCTTACATTATTTGCAAGGAACGAAAGGCCTCATGATGACATATAGAAGATCTGATTCATTTCACATAGTAGGATATTCAGATTCTGATTATGCGAGAATGAATACATATGCAGATGTGGATTTTCTATCATCTCGAAAATGGAGAGCTATTTCATGAAAAAGCTCAAATGCAAACCGTCACTACATCGTCCACAATGTATGACGTTTGTAGCGTGTTTTGAGGCAACGGGCAAGTGAACTGACTAAAGAAGTTCATACCCGGTTTGAAGATGGTTGACGACATCTATAGACCACTAAAGTTATACTGCGATTATGTTCTGGCAGTACAGTATGCTCACAACATAAGTCAAGTGGTGCTGCCAAACACATTGACATAGTGTATTATGTTGTGAAAGATAAAGTCCGGGATCAAGTCATAAGTCTTGAGCATATAAGTACAGAAAGGATGCTCGCGGATCCGCTTACGAAAGACTTACCACCCAACATGTTCAGAGAACATGGTGTTCAGAGAACATGTAGCTAGCATGGATTTAAGGGAAGCCTAAAATTCCTGGACAAAAAAGGCCCAAAAGATTAGTATCTATTTCAGAACAGAGTAGTGTGTTGTAGCTGTTAAATCTATCGGCAATAAACCGGGACGATTAGACATACTCTATGCGCTAATCTGTAATTGAATGAACAAAAGTAAATGATATAAAATTGAAAGATAGAATAAGATCAAATGGGAGAATGTTAGTTGATCTCCACCAATAGGCCCAACGGCCTATTGGGCCCTTTGCCTTTTTCTCCGATCGGGGAGCCCAACCCTAACTCGGTTGGCGGACTTGTCGTCAGACAAAGACATATATATATATAGAGGAGTGGGGAACAAAGCTCGATCACGAGGTTAAACGGAGCCGCCATCCCACTCACAGAAACCCTAAACCGATCTAAAGGCTATGCTGCCAGCGACGGGATGTGTCCCACCACCGCCGTCGCCCCACTGCAGGGTCACCACCGGATCGCCGTCTCTCCACCAGCGCCACTTGACTTCACCGCCACCTCGCTGGACGTCTTCTATACTGCGGCACCGACGTCTACCCACTACGGTGCATCTACCAAGAAGACAAGGAGAGGCTTACCGGATCTACGGGTTACACGGAAAGGTACACTCATTACTGATCCTAACAGCGTGATCAGTCCAGTCCTCCAGTTCGTTCACGTGCACACCGATCAATCAATCAGCTCTCGGTGTCGGAGACGACGAGGCTAAAGTAGACGGTGTAGAACTCGTCCTGCAGGCTCCGCAGCGGCTCCAGCAGGAAGTTCCGCGCCGTCCCGCGCGCCGCGAAGCTCAGCGGGTGGTACCGCCTCAGCGGCGCCGCGCGCGCGAAGCTCGCCGCGCGCCGGAACGCCGCCTCCTCGTCGCTCGCGCTGCCGCCGTCGTTGTTGCCCGGGCAGACGACCTGCGTGGCGGCGTTCGCGCCCGCGCCCGCGCCCGCTGCGGGGGGCCGCCGCCGCCGTCGTCACGAAGCACCCCAGCCTGGTGGCGAGCTCCAGGGACACCGAGCCCGGCGCGCCGTCCAGCCCCGGCACGGCGTTGAAGAGCGTGTCGCGGCCTCCAGGGCGGCCGACGGCGAGGAGGCCGTTGGTGACCGCCATGCCCGGTCTGTCGAACGGCTCGATCGTCACGTTCGGCCCTTGCAGTTGCAGCATCTCGCTGCTGCTGCTGCCCGCCTGGCCGTAGACGCGGAACGTGGCGTGCACGCACGCGTCGGTCCCTGGGGCGGGCTGCTCCTGCATCTCCAGCTTCGCGTCGGCGATCGACACCGACAGAACGAGGGTCCGTCCGCCGGCGCTCTGCGTCAGCGTGACGAGCTGTGAGTTGAGCGTCTCGGAGGGGAGCGGAGTGATCCAGTCGGCTACGGAGGCGGCGTTTGTGGCGTTCACTTCCCAGATGCTCCGGGTCAGGCCGTCGTTGGAGTGGTTACTGTCTGTCACTGGCACCTTGCCGTGCGTCAGGCCGGCGAGGAGGTGCGGCCCGAACAGCACCGCTTGGATGGACCCGTACTCCGACCGGTCATCTGAAATGAAAGCTCCATTTCAGCCTCTAGTTCAGAGTTCAGACACTTAAGTTTGTTTTTCTTCAGGAAAAGGGAGAAAACTCTCTTAGATTTGTACAGAGCCGAATACAATCAATGCCGGTATTTGTCTGAGATTTCATACCTTTGATTGCCTCAGTTCTAAGGGTAATGGGGAATTGGAGAGTCAAGGTATCATCGGCCCAGAGCTTGGTCACCGTCAGGAAACCACCTGCAACGAAACAAAACATGAAGCAGGCTGCAGGCATCACATTTTTTTTTTCTTGAAGCAGCATGAACCACTCTCAGTCTCCTATGGAACAGAAGCAAATTTGATAATTTTAAATCAAGATTTTCATATACCATCGGTCGAGTTGCCAGTGGATGTCAGGTAGAGCTTCTGGCCATTCAGAATTGCCATTGTGCCATCAGTTGATGTCCATGACGGGATCCTGACACTCACCTTTGCTAGTTGGGCATCTCCCTGAACATTTGAAATGTGAAAGAAATAACATATAATCCTGATCCTTGCAACAAACAATGGAGCCTTCAGATCATGTGCTGGTTGACAGTGTTAATTAGAAGCTACCTTCGCAGCAATGGTGAGCGAAACTTTGAAAAAGGGGTCCGTTGACAACAGAGGTTTGGCCTGCTGATTGACAGTGAGGCCTGTGGCTTTCCAATCGAAGGTGCTCGGGATGTACTGGATGATGTAGAGCCCTGGCAATTCACCATTCTCCAGGAAATATATGGAATCCCCAAGCTTTGAGAATGATTCTATCCCTGTCAAACCAAACCAGAAGATTCAGGCATCAGCAACAACAACAAACAGAATAACTTCCACAATCACAAGTATCTAAGAAGAGAATACCAGTGCCATAGCAGCACCAAAACGTGTCGTTCGGACCTCCCCATCCCCCTGGATTCTTCGGCGGAAGGCCAGAGGGGGGCCGACCACTGACACTCTTGGATCGCCCAGGCCCCATGGGAAGAAAGTAGAGCATGACACCAGGCTGTGTTCCCCTCTGGTTGCCCATGATCCCATTGATGAGCAGCCGTTCGTAGTGGTCTGCATACTTGGCCTCCTTTGTCCACCGGAACAGGTTCCGTGACACCTGCAGACAAGCAAATCTCAGGATTGTGTCTTGTTCAATGCGTTTGTAGACGAGGAGTGGGGCTGCTCACCTTGAGGAAGTTGTAGGTGGCGCAGGTCTCCTCGTTCGAGCTGATTTTGATCTCGTCCACCAGCCGCTTTGGGTCATGCCTGGCATTTGCAAAAAATTGGAGCTGGGAGATTACCATGAAGTCATGAACTCTTAAAAAACGTGCATGGTGAATGTAAGTGTTGTGACTCACCAGTGTTCCATGGTAGATGTACCTCCAGTTGCGAATGTATGAGAAGAATTTACCACATCAAACAAGTAGGTTGAGATGTCCTGTGCCATGGGTTGGTTTTGTGTTCAGTAACTCAAATTGTAAAGGAACAAGACATTTCATATCAATTTCTTTACTGCCTGAACAGTCAAACAGGAGAGTGCACAGTATTATCAATCATGCAGGAGTCCTTGGTAAAGTCGACACAACTTTTCGTTTACCTTGTAAAGATGATCACCAACGACCTCATATCTCTTCTGTGCACCAATGACGACAGGGAGATGCGTATTTACATGCAAGCCCGATATGCCATCTTTCTGAAAGACAGAGATTGATATCGCTTAATTGCTGGTAGGCCAGACTGGAAATGTAAAAAGAAAAATTCCAAGAACTGACATGAAGACCAAGAGGTCCAAGGAAGCATGGTTTGTCGAAAAGATGAGCCATTGTCAGATGTTTCTGTTCTTTCTGTAGGGAGTAAGAAGCAATGCTGTAAGAACATAATACCACAATCCAAGTCAAGATACTACTGAATACTACCAACTGTAATGACACTAAGATTACCGTTATTGTATACAGCTGATACATGACGTCGTTGAATCCACCGGTCTCCTCGTTCATTGCCTCCCAATGCCTCTGAATAGTGTAATTCTGTATCAGATTCTTCACACGGTTGCTGAAGTAGTCAGTCATCCACACCACCACGTCAAGACCTTTCTTGTTACTGGCCAACATATACTGATCGAGAAGTCCCTGCATAATCTGTCAGAACACCAAAGCTTTAGATAAAACATGATCTGGGCTTTCAGTTCTTAATACACAGCGCTGCTGCTTCAATGGATGAGATCATATCACACACAGGTTGCATCGGACCATGGATGGAACAAAAAAAAAAAAGAAGAAGACAAACGTCTGATCTGCACGTACCTTGTGGATGGTGTAGTATGGTGACCACGCCTCGTCCAGCTGCTCGTACAAGTCGAACATGGTCTCGGGATACGCCGAGAGGTATCCCGTGCCCATCTTCTTCTGGCAGTCGTAGAGAATGTCCACCACCCTCGTCATCCTCTCCCTGAGGGTGCTGTTGTGCGTGGCCGCCCACATGTGCGCGCTCGCGCTCAGGTAGTGCCCTGCGAAAACACACAAAAGCAGAGTAGCAAGTGGAAGATCGAGGCGAGAGTGGAAGAACAGAGTCACAAACAAGTCCACCGATGAACAATTGACGCACGAGCAGAACGAAGCGGCAACGGAATTTAAAGATGGGCAACGAACCTGTGAAATGGCCACGGAGCTGGCCGTCCGGCGCCTCCCAGCCGCCGTAGGGATCCCCGACGGTGGGCAGGCCAGCCTGCTGGCGGAAGGTCCAGGTGAGGCGGTCGGGGTCGAGGTAGAGCAGGTACTCGAGGTTGGTCTGCTGCGCCTGCCAGTACATGGAGGAGGACGAGCCGGCGGCGAGGTGGTCGTCGTCGCCGCCGTGGAGGCGGACGTCGTGCAGGGACGCCGGCGTCAGCAGGTCCCCCGGGCCCGGCTTGCCGGCGCCGTAGTCCGGCCCGCCGCCCCGCGTGAGGCTGCGGTAGAGCGCCAGCCAGTCGAACTCGGCCCGGGCGCCGCCGCGGAGCCTGCGCGGGAGGAGCGCCATCCACGTGGCCTCCTCCGTCGGGGTGAGGTGCGGCAGGCCGTCGTTGTGCCGCCCCTGCGTGAAGTTGAAGAGGCGGTCCGTGCACAGGTGCAGCGCCGCGCCGCGCTCCACGAACGCCGCCGCGCACAGCAGCAGCAGCAGCGACGACTCCGCCGCCGCGGACATGGCTAATGCCGGCCGAGCTCGCGCCATCGGTTTTCGAGGGATGATCCAACGACTCCGAAAAAAGCGCTTATATATAGGCCGCCGGCGAAGGTGGCGACTGGCGAGTGAGTCAAGTGTCAGAAGACGGGGTCGATAAGCGTCACGGGAGACGAACTCGGTGGAGTGTGCGCGCTGCGCGGATCTGCTGCAGCTCTGCATGGTGGATGAAACGGCCAGATGGATAAACGGCCAGTGGGGCTTGGGCGCACGCGCACCCAGCATAGTCGCCACGTTTCCCGAGCTCGTCGTGGCCACTGCCCTCCCTCCTCCGCAACCGCCGCGCCGCCCGATCAGCTCGTCCTCGGAGCCTTGCTAGCAAACTCCTTCCTTTGTTCCTCCTTGATCGTCATCTCGTCTGCGTGTCGAGCTTGAGCCAGTGCCCAGGCCCGTCCACTGAGTCTCTGTCGCTCTTGGGCCAAAATCAGGACGGGCGGGCCTCAGTCAAATGCACAATAATAATGTTTTCCTTTCAATTAAAATCTGAAAAATAGAATTGCGTTAACAAAGTATGTATCAATTATGCCGCGTTGATGTACGAGCTAATCCATATGCAAAGGACTGTAAACAATTTGGTGTCAGGCTGTCAGCTATTACATTACCATTTGAGATAACTATCCTCCTCCGTCCTCCTAATATAAAAATACAAAACGAAAATATTCTCCAACACTCAAATCTATTTTTGATGATCATGAATTCCACATAATTCCAAAGCTATGCATTTCCTACAAGCTACCAAAATTTGGAGATAGTAGCACGCACAGCTGGCATACCTAAACCTGCACCAAGTTTATCTCCTACAACTTGTCTTTTGCACTGAATGGATACAGATTCTGCAGGGAGGCAAACAGTCTGCTCAGTGTAGTTTGCCGCTTTCTCATTCTTGGCAAGGCAGTACCAATAATCAGCTCACCATCTTTTCGCAAAATAGACAGAAATGGCTTCAGTGACAGCTAAACCTAACCATGGTGACCTTTCCTGACTATTGTCATTTTCCCAGATTCATACAGAGATACTGATAAGAATCAATCATTGCTACATGTACAATATATTCCACTCAACGGAGAAATTCTGATAGCTTTTTTCAAACATAGCTGTTTTCTTAGTTCCATGATAAGGCAATTGTATGGATCAGCAAAACATATACACAAATAGCCGGAATTATTGTAGGTTAATAGTAATACCAGACAAAGATCTTCACAAAAGGTAATGCCAATAATTCTAGATTTTTTGGACCTTGTCAGAATTATTGTAGGTTAATAGTAATACCAGACAATAAGAACCAATTGTATGCAGTCCTCAAATAGCTATTGACAACAATGATAGTTCTTAAGGGCCTTGTTATTGCTGTAGCTTCATGACAAGACAAACCATAGGGGCCAATGATAGATGAATGTCTAACAGCAACAGTTGTAGCTCATGGTGGGTTTTACGTGACCTGAGTGGCATCAAATCATCAATTGCCCTTATGTTAACTCAGTGCACAAGGTGATAAGGATTTTGGGGGAACTAAGCTAATAAATGGTGAAATGCATCTGAAGATACTCTGAAACAACTAAAGATCACTATGGAAATTACAGTGAACTGCATCTGATAGTTCAAAATTACCTCAGAAACACGGAGAGAAATGACAGGATACGAATAGGATGAGTGAAAATAACCGAATTGCCACTGTACAGCAACAACAGCAGTTTAAAATTCAGTTGCAACTTCACCGTGCCAATTGATGCAGCATTCCATAGAAGAGCATCAGTTTGCAAGGTTACAAGGAGCGCATGGCCAATGGTGCCTGTAACAAAAATAGTTTCAGATTACCAAGTTTTGCCAAACACTTAAACATCTCCATTTTGGCAAGCACAAGATACAAATATGTTGGAGTAAAAAAATGCATGGAGCTATCAGATTTAGCTTTTGAAGTTGAAGCACAGGCTGTTCCAGGACAAATTTGGTATATAACATAAAATACTAAACTTTTATGTCATTTGCAAACAAATAATACAAAAGTTAACTACAGCAAGATGCAACCAAGACATATGCTCTGAAAACTACCTCTTTAGAAATGTTGAGTGTTGGATGGATGTAGATGTTTGAACTGCTTCGTGGTAGAAGAAGCTTTGTTCCATGTTTGCTATGAATATACTGCCTACAAGGCAATTGACCAACTAGAGCATGGCTTACAATATGTGCTACATGCGTAAACCTTTCATATATATAGCCCTGGTATCGGAGTCTGCAAGCATAAACTGTGAAGTTAGTATTAGAATGATTTAGGTAAGGTACCTACAAGAGAAACAACTCCCATTTTTTTTATAACCACAGTAGTATATCTTTTGAAGTATAAAGTATAAAGTATAAACATACTGAGATTATTAAAGTAGACAGAACATACAAGAGAGCTAAGTAGAATTACGTCCTTCACAAAATTACATTTTCTGAAGTACTGTAGTGATCTGAAATCAAAATGCAGAGCACATGATACATATCATTTCATCTCAGTGTGTTCAGTGGACCATCACATATCATTATCTGCACTACAATCAACAACACAAGGACACCTTACCCCTATCAGCAAAGCAATCTGAATAGTTGTATCTTTTCTATCTTTCACCAGTAATCTCCACAGGTGCATGCTCCTTCTGTAATTAGATGAAAGCGATTTTTGTCTCTGAGGGATATCTCTCTTCCATAAACTTTTGAGACAAACTTTGCAAAATTGTGGCAGTCAACACAGATGCGAAGATTCTTCATAACCTGGATGGTGCCTGAAGGAGTACTCATCAGTCCAAAAGTTATGGCCAGCTTCTCACTGTGGCCAAGAAGCATACGTTCTTTCTGCTCATCATCAACATCATGAAGCACACAGCTCAGGTCAGGAACAAAGCCAGCTGCTTTAATAGCAACATATATCTCCTTAATTTTAGCATTTATATCTTCCTTCCTGGGGTGGAAACGCTCACTGGAGTGGAAGGTATGAATAACCTTGTCAAGAATCATCCAGCTCCGCCCTGGTTCCTTTATCACAGTGTTCTTTAACATTAACTTCCTCACTCTGAAAACATCTTACCACATCCCAGAAGCAGCATAAATGTTAGAAAGGATCACATAGTTGCCAGCATTTTCCGGTTCGATGTCAAGAAGCTTCTGCGCAACAAACTCGCCGACATGAACATTAGTATGAACTCTACAAGCACCAAGCAATGAACCCCAAATTGCTCGAGTTGGTTGAAATGGCATCTTTTCTATCAAATTTAGTGCCTTCTGAAGTTGTCCAGAACGTCCAAGAAGATCAATAACACATCCATAATGTTCAATATTGAGGAGTGTGCTCTGCTCTTTAACTATATGATCAAACATATCAAGGCCCTCATCAACCAGACCACCATGACTATAGCCAGACAAAACAGCCAACAGAGTAACACTGTCAGGCTTCACTTCGTCACGCATAGATCTGAAGAGCTGAACAACTTCATGTGCTAAGCCATGCCTTCCATATCCCATAAGCATAGCATTCCAACTAACTACTGATCTCTCAGGCATATTGTCAAATACCCTTCGTGAGTATAACAGCTTGCCACATTTAGAGTACATATCAATCAAAGAATTCTGCAAAGCCATGAAAATGGCAACTCTCTCTGAAGGATTAGCCCATGAACCTGCTTGCCATAATCCATGGAAGAAAGTCCAGACAATGCATTGAGAAGGGCTGTGAATGTAACTTGGTTGCATTGCATCCCCTCATTGTACAACTGCCTGAACAAGTCCAGGGCTTCCTCATCAAGGCCCAGTTGGGTGTAGCCAGATAAAATGGCGGTATAGGAAACAACATCCCTTGCAGGAAGCATATCAAACACCCTACGAGCTTCTTGGATATTCTCTGACTTGGCATACATGTCAAGAAGGGAACTCCCTACAAACATGTGTAACTCAAAATTTGTCTTGACGGCAAAAGCATGGACTTGCTTGACCTGGTGTATGCCTTCAGAGCCAGTACAGGAGGTAAGGACGGATGCCAAAGTGAATTCGTTAGGCTCGCATCCTGCCAGTTAGAAGTAAATTGATTACATATATGACTTAAGCTAGAAAATAGCATTCATATACCATCCTGAAAGGATGTCAAAATTTTGGTGCATCCTATAACGATGAACAAACATGCAAACTTGATGGCCAATGGATATCATGTTGCAGAAGAAAAAGGACAGACCTAACAGATTACTAGGACAGGCTTAACATATTGTTAGATACAATTATGATGGCAAAGCTATATAATTTAGTTCAAAGATAGTGGTGCGACATGCATGCCTATGGGGAAAACAACAATGCATCAACAGAAGAAGTATATAACCAACAAATTTTCATAGAGAATAACTTTAGCCTCTAACCAAGCAGATCATGCACCCAGTATTAGACCAATCAAAGTTTGTTTGGATACCAGATATGAATTATCATGCCAAGAAGATCAGATATTTTTATTCATCATACTTTCCCATTCGAGTATTAGACCAATTGCTTTGGAAATGGAGACCTCTATGCTAGGCCACATCATATCATATTTGGTCAGTTTGTTAGCCAGATGACAAGAGCCTGTTTGGTGCGTGCGGCAATAGAAGACAAAATGATTTAAGTGATCTACCAGCTCTGAGCATCATGATGAACAGCTCCCAGGCCTCGTCAGGCCGTTCGTTCTGAGAATACCCCGAGATCATTGCCGTCCACGAGACCACGTTCCGCTCGGGCATCCCATCGAGCACGTTCCGCGCGTCCTCCAGCACGCCGCACCTGGCGTACATGATCACCAGCCGCGTCGCCAGGTACAGCGCCGGGCGGTACCCCGCGGCCACCATGCGCGCGTGCACCTGCCGCCCCTCGCGGAGCGCCCGCCTCTCGACACACTCCGTGATGGCGGCGTCGTAGTCGTGGAACCGCGCGGCGCCGGCACCGGGGAGTGCCGCCACAGCCGACGCGGACCGGCGTGCGAGGCAGACAGCCGCCACGAGCCGACGAAAGCCGCGCGCGGTGAGCATGGGAAGCGTGGCGTCGTTTCCGAGAGCCCACGCGCGGGCATTTCACTGACCACTTCGCGCGCGCCGCCGCCGACGCCTTTGCCGTCGTCGAGACGAGAGGTGGAGCCCTGCCCCTGCTCACGGGCCCCACTGTTGAGCCTGAAAACGCAGATTCTCCGCCAGATCATCAATGGACGGTTCTGATCGCATTACAGTGCAGGCGCTATTTTGAAAATATCACAAAGTATAGGGCGAATATAGATTGAAAGCAGGGTCCTAATTGTAAATTACCCTCACGGGCCGAAGCGGGCAGTAGAGCGAGGGAAACATTTGAAAATCTTTTCCACATTTTGGAGTGAGGCACTGAGGCGAGCGCGGGCGGCGGCCGGCGGCGAGGAAGGCTACTGCTAGGATTATCTCGGTGTAAAATCGGGTCCCCGAGGTGAGCCCCTCCCTAATCTCCTTGTTGAACCGGCATTTCACATGCTCCATCTGGCCGGATTGGGCGATTTTAAGTTCTAGGGTTTAGCCAAGCGCACGAATCTGAGTTTGCGATTCTGTTCTTTGGTGTATAGATGGAGGGGAAGGTGCTGGCCGTCGATTGCGGTGGCGCCGGCGTCGATGCGGCGGATGATCTCAAGTACATCTCCGGGCTGAGCACCATTCTCGTGGCCACCATCCAGGAAGTGAAGGACCAGGTCTCCCAGATGGAGTTCATCTTCTGCAGCCAGCTCTTCCCGCACATCCAGGCCAACTCGAAGCTCGTCCAGGCGCGTCTCGCCGACGCGATGAAGGCCAGTGAGGCTGAGTGGAGGAAGAGGGATGCTGGCCTGGTGAACCAGCTGGAGGAGGCCAGCCGTGGTAAGATGCTAGCTGAGGAGAGGTTGCTGCAACTGGGCACCTCTCTTGAGGAGATGAAGGGGAAGCTTGCGGATTCGGAGCAATTGGCTGCAAGGCATGAGGCTGAGAAGAAACAGCTTCTGGGGAGGCTGGAGGATGAGATGAGGAAAGGTGAGGGGGTACGTCAGCTCCAGAAGGAGATTGAGGAGAAGGATGCTGAGGTGGTCAGGGAGAGAGAGGCACATCAGCGGCTGCAGCAGCAGGTTGAGCAATTGGCTGCGAGGCATGAGGCTGAGAAGAAACAGCTTCTGGGGAGGTTGGAGGATGAGATAAGGAAAGTTGAGGTGGTACGTCAGCTCCAGAGGGAGATTGAGGAGAAGGCCGCTGAGGTGGTCAGGGAGAGAGAGGCACATCACCGGCTGCTGCAGCAGGTTGACCTGAAGGATAAGGATCTGCTTCTGGAGCAGAGCAAGCGGAGGGACTTTATTGAGGATTACACTCAGCTGAAGACAAACTACAAGCATTTGAAGTCTCAGTACACCTTTCTTCTTGGGAAGATTGACCAGCATGAAGGCTCCAAGCCTCCTGGGGACATTCCTGTAGATAGAAGAAATACTGAAATTCCTCCAAGTAAGAGAAAGCTCAAAGGTACAGCTATTCGAATTTGTCAATCAGTCAATTTCTTTGAGCTACTTCACTTTTTCTGAATCATCAATCTTTGCTCGTGATTTACTCTACCTGGAATAATTCTGGGGATTTGTTTTCTTGTCCCATGTAAATTATGTGATATTCGGATCAATGCCCTCAAATGAAAATATTAAGTAAATTATTGTTAATTGGCTCTGATTGATCTGCCATTCTTGGACACTCTTGTCCCTAAATATGCTCGGAATTACTGGTTGGACCAATGCCTTTACATTTTCTTACCTGCTTGGTTTTCAGATTTGGAGCACACAAACAAGGAGTGCATCCAGGTCCTTTCCAACACAAGGGACCTGAAGAATGACTCTGCTCCAGGTGCCAAAGCCCAAGTTGCCCAACATGCTAGTTCAGTCAGGGGTCCATTCAGAAACTCACACCATCCTCTGCCATCTCGCCCACCTAATCCATTGCCAAATCATGTTGCCAACAATTCAAAACTACATGCTTCAACCAGCGTCGCTGGCCCAAGTCTAAATTGGAGGGAGACCCGTGCACGCAAAGAACCAGGTGTTGCTGATCCACATGATGATTTCCTTGATACACCACTGGAAGCTGTCAAGAATACCATCAGGAACCCTACAACTCCAGAAGAAGCACAGGCTCTTGCCGCCTCTCCTCCTCAAGACATGGAATTCAACAATTCAGATGATGAAACCCAAGATATATGAATGTTGCAACTCAAGCCCTCCGAACATCCCCAATATGCCAGTTCCCAAGCAGCAAAACACAATATCAGTACAGCCACCAAAGAAAGATTTCAAATATAGAGAATCAGTGAGAAAGAAAGCTGATCGGGAGAACCTGAAAGGTGTCGAGTGCAAGCAGTGCAAGAAGTTTTATGATGCTGTTCTTCCTGGTGGTCATGCAAATGGCGATGGTGCAGGCTCTACAAGCTTACGATGTGAGCACCACGATGGTGTATCAAGGCATCGGTACAGGTATGCACCGCCTCTGACACCGGAAGGGTTTTGGAACATTGGTTTTGAATCAGAAATGTAGCAGTACATGAAGTAGCAGGAAACCTTCAGCGGAGTGTATAAATAAACTATCTTGTCATAATGCATGTCCTTGGTCACCCCAAGATATTGTAGCAATGTCTATGACAAATTGCATGTCGCTGCTCAAGTTGGGGAAATGGTCATCCTGTGATTAAGGTTGATGGTAGGCAGTAGCTACTGTCAATATGTTGAAGATAGAATGCACTTTCAGCTATTGCCTTCTTGTGGATTCATCAAGTTGACCATTTTGTAGTGAACCAGCTTTAACCTACCATTGGAATGCAGTTCTTTTTCTTTTTCTTTTTTTTCTTTTTTTTGAAAGGAGACATCTGAATAACAGCTTACATCAACAGCAAAACCTCTAGTCTTGTACTGCTATGCTTATTGTGTTCATTCTTTCAGCTGCTTGCAATTTATATCAGTATATTCAGTTGTTTACAGAGCTTTTTCTTCTTTTTTTGACACGAGATCATCCCATTTCCATTATCAAGGTAACAGAAATACAAGCGTTTAGAGTTTTTGGGAACCCTGTCTCAGAGAACTCATGAGGGATTACAGAGCCTTTCAAGTTCCACAACAGTTGCCTCTCGATCCATCAACGATCAGTCAACTTTAGGCTTCCCCATCCTGTGAATCTTTGCTTGCACCATCTAGCCTAGTGATTCCCCCCACAACTACCTGGCTTTCTAATCTTGATGGTTGACACTGCTTGCAACATAATGCAAACCCCATCTGCAATCAGCTCCTGCATGTCCTCCATGTATAGCCCTGACCAAAATTGCATGAGCGCAAGCATAGCATATGATTTCAACTGGGCTTTGCACAAATTTATCTTCAAAGCAAACTTGATTCCTAGTTTTCCAAATAGCTCAGCAAGTGGCAGCAAGGCCAAGAGAGTGAACATTAGTTCCATTAGGAATCCAAACTTTAACCCACTTCCAAACTTGATTCAAGCTTCTTGGAACATTATTTGCTCCAAAGCAAGTAGCAACTATTCCCCCAAATAACCTTGGAAGCTGAATATTCAAAGAACGAATGAGAAATGGATGCATAATTGTCACTAAAGGTACATTTGGGATCACCAACACAACCTGTTTTAACTAGATTATCCTTTGTTAGAATGGCATTATTCTCTACAAGCCATATGAAAATCTGGATTCTGGGGGGCCTTCTCCAGATATGTTTGGATGAGAAATACAGATCCATTCACTGTTATTGCTTTGTATGTTGACTTTACAGAGAACACGCCATCTTTTTCCCATTTTCAGTGGATAGTATCTCTGTCTGGAGAAAATTGAGACATTGACTTTCTCGCATATTAGGTTGCATTGCTCCCTTAGGGTGCAACCACCCTAAAAGAAAGGTTCATATTGTTTCCCAGACACCATTTCACAGTGACCTGGTCACAGAGCAGAAATAAATCCTTAAATTGAGTGCAAATAGCGACCGGAAGGAACCAATTTTGGTTCATCACGTTTGGAGCAAAATCTTGATTCACAAAGGAAATCCAATTTGTTTTCTTGAGCCGCTCCATAGACTACTAAAAGGTTCCATTTTACTTGTTCGTCTTGTTCTCCTTACCCCATAAATTCATCTGTAACATAAACTCTCCCTGAACAAAGGAACCTACGTCAAAAAATTCAATGTTAATGCCCACTAGGATACCCCCAGATTTAGCAGAAGCATCATTCTACTTCCACAAGTAGTTCAACTGAGGATCGAATTTTTTTGCGCTTACACAGCTTTTTGGCCGCTTAATGTAGAACTTGTTACAACAAACTAAAGTTGACCGCTAGAAATGTGAAGTTGTTGGGGGTTACTAGAAGTCATTCATTGAGTTCCTCCTCTCGTCTCTGCAAGTACGCATTCATCGAGAACACAAAGCTTGTGGTTTTACCGCCACTTCGGGCCTACAAAGGAATGCAAAACAAAGGAAAAAGAAAAAACTACATGAATTGAATGGATGTGTAGTAGCAAAACAAAGGAATAGAAAACGTTAGAAAATTTACCAAAACATGTTTGGAATACAGGAATCCTAAACACAGGAACCTAGATTAATGTGGGTCCCACAAGTGGATAGCCATCAAACGAAATTGCATGTGTATGCTACTGACATGTTTGACCCACCAAACTGCTGGTCCGAGAAGCTGCATGTGTATGCTACTGACATGTTTTGATGGCCAGCCAAACGCTTCTTTTCCCTTCACTCGCCTCGGTCTTCCACAAAACCACGGCTCGGGGTGGATGCTTTTTTCCCGTGTTTTGTGAAGCAAGCGATTCCTTTCCTCCGAACAGCTGGCTGCTTTCCTCCGTTCAAACGGTGTATGATGTCAACAAAACAAAAGAATTCCATTCCTTTGAAATTCCTGTGAAAAACCTCCAATCCAAATAGGCCAGTTTGTTGTCATTCAGTCATCTTGTGCTGTGTTCGAAATCCTGTTCATACTGAGATTCAGATGTGATAGATCATAAATAAGAACCAAGGTCGATAAAACCTGTTCTTCATTTATGACGTTTAAGGTCTACTTTGTTTTCTTTGCAGTACTTTCACTGTTCCAAATTGTAAATCGTTCTTCCTTAATTATGTCATTCCCATATTTATAGATATATATTAAAAATGGTAATGCTCGGGTCCGTTCGGACGCCGCTTTTCCGAGGTCAGTGTACCCATTAACAGGCCTCCTTACTCTCTGCGTTTCTTATCTCTTCTCTAAAAATATCTCCATATCGCTCTCGCCATCGTGTGCTGCTTTGCGTCATGTGCTCGTTGTTGTCGTCTTCCCCATCACGCACCCCATCTCGCGCCGCCAGCTCCCCCATCCAGAGCTGCGCTCCATCCCGCGCCGCACCCCCTCCATCGCCAAGCGCTTCCATCCCATGCCGCGCCCGGCTCATTTCATTGCTATCCGCTCCCCCATCTTCACAAGCACCGTGCCCTCCCCTCCCCAGCCTGCTGATGTGTTGTTGGGTGCTGCAACACCGCCGTTCCCCACCATAAGGTCGTGGCCGCTGTCGACGTCATGGCCACCGCGATGCACGAGCTCAGCAAGGAGATGTTGCGATAAAAGTGCATGTTGTAAGCGTATGTTTCAAATGCAGATGTTTCGGAGGTATGATGCAATTGTTTCATATGGATGTTGCAAAAGTAGATCGGGGGATGTTGCACATGTTGCATTTGTTGTAAGTGCCTCATAGGCACGTTGCAACTGTTTCAGGTTTGTTCAAAATGTTCCATCTGTTCCAGACGTATGTTGCAAGCGTTCTGATCTGGATGTTGCATATGTTTCAAACATAGGTTGCAACAATATGTTCCAAATGTTTCAGCTGTTTCAGTCTTACATTGCAGTAAGTGTTGCTGCAAGTTGCAAATGTTTTATCCGGATGTTGCATATGTTTCACACATATGTTGCAAGTGTATATTTCAGATGTTTCATTGTTGCATATGTATGTTGTATTTTGGTGTTTCATGTTGCACATCTTTCATGTTGTTCAGAGAGAAGGCACGGGGAGTGATGGTGGCACGGCGCGGGCACCGGGGAATAGGGCGCGACGAGCTGGGGGCCCGCGGGATGGGGGCGTGGCATGGGCCGGTGGGTGGGTGGGGCGCGTGGCACGCCGGTGTCCTGCGGACGGGGCACGCTCGGGGCCGGCTGTCAGGACGCGATGGGTGCGTGTCGCGAGTGCAGGGTGGGGCAAACGACCTCAAATCGAGGCGGATAGGGTGGGCTACCGAGTGCGAGATGAGTCCTCCAGACACGCGGGCATTGCGATGAGACGAGATGCACGTGCGGGGGTGAGAAACATCAGCAGACAGGGGCAGGCTGCACAGCATCCGTCCGGACGCTAGCACCTCCAATTAAAAAATTATATACTAAAAAAGCTAGAATGACTTGTTACGGTGGGAGTATAATAAGCATGCATTATATATATATAGTTATACTGTGATACATTCGTGTTTAGGCAGAGAAAATTGTCAACTTTTGCAATGCTTGTTGAAATGCAATCGAGAAGGGTATATGACCCATGATATTTCTCTGTTTTCGTTCATAAAAAATGCTGCTCAGATAACCTTAAGATTGGGCAATTATAGTCAGAAATACACCAAGAATATCAGCAACGAAACCAGAGTATCGCTTGCCCATCTCTTCAACGATAGCAGCAGGGCTTGCCCATCTCTACAACGACAGCAGCAGGAAAGCTGGTATCCTCGCCCATCATGCATCCCCGTCTTCAGCTCAACACCAATAGTATCTCTATCGCTATATGTACATCCCCTCTCTGAAAATGTCGATTTCGCTGCGCTTGCCATCAACCAGCCACAGCCACAGCCACCATTCATTCACAGCTCGTTTGCAGCTTGATCAACTTGCTGAAATTCTGTTGCTGCTGCCGCCCACCTCATATGTTCAGCTTGCTGTCCTGATATGCTATCTACCATCGTCGCTCAAAGCTCGGTCTTTAGCTTGGTCGCCGGAGTTTGCTGGGTTCCTGCAGAGAACCCATGAAAACAGAGACCAAAGTCAGTGTGGAATCTCAATAACTTTCAGTCTGTACACAGCTCATGAACACAAATTCAAAGAACAGTTTAACACAATTTATGTCATTCAACGCGAGCTCATGAACAAGAGGTCTGCATGTCCAGACTCCAGAGCTACCGCGAGCTGCGCAGGGGGCCGCGTGATAAAGATGCTGGCCGGATTGCCGGACAGCGCTTGCTGTATGCCACTCAGCGCTGAGCAGGCACCGGTACATCAAGAAGCTGTGAATTATTTCTGGGCAAAAACAGATTCTGCCAGCTGTAATGCAGTACAGATATCTCATCTCGTCAGGAAGGAGAAGGGGGGTCCCCAGGGTGTTTAATGATTCCTGAACGCTTTGCATGATTAGGCCTGTACCTCCAATAGCTCCTGTCTCCACAACGCACTCTGCTTGGATCCAGGGCCGTAGCACAGATCGGTTGCCCAGATCCGAACGGCAGATCACCAGCTCTTATTACCCTTTTTCTTTGGTCTCTCTCATTGGTGCAGCAAAAGCTGGGGCGGTGTTCTAAGCCTAAGGTAGTGTAGATCAGTGGAGCTAGTTAGCTTGGCTTGCATGATAGAATTAGGATCTACAATTATTGATAGCACATCTTTACAAGTTATGGAAATGCTTAATTAGGCTGGTCAGGCCTGAACACTCCAACCATCTCTATAATAGCTATCAACTTATCCAGTGCTGGCCTACATCCTTAGTTATTACAAGGGCAGTAGAATGGAAGATCTTGTCGTGGTGTATCATTGTGGAAATGGCAGCATGAAAGTAATAGCTCACTTCATGCATTTGCTTAGCATAATTATAACACAAAAAAAAAACATAACCCCTGTCTGCAGATAGAGGCATTCAGTCTGAAGTACTCCTCTGTCCGAAAAAGAATGCAACTACGTGTTGCGTGTGCCAGCAGAAGTAGTCCACGTTTGACTAAATTTCTAGTAAATATTATTCACATTTACGGCTCCAAAATAATTTATTATAAAAATACATTTCAGAATCAATCTAATGATATTTATTTGATATCGAAAGGGCAGGCCTGGTACAAGCGGTGAGAGTTTTACCGCCTTTGACCGGAAGGTCTTGGGTTCGAGTCATGGTCTCCTCAAGATTGCACAAGGCGAGAGGTAAGGCTTACCACGACACACCTTTCCAGCACCCATACGCAGAGCGCGGGAGCTCTCTCTACTTTAGACGCCTCCTTTTTATATTTATTTGATATCATAAATATTGATACTTTTTTATCTATAATTGATCGAACTTAAAATACAAAACCATAACACTGTGCTAGAATTGCATTCGGAGACAGTAGTTTCCAGCTGGCTAGCTCCCAACACGCAAAATTGGACACGAGAGACCGAGACAAGTAGTGGACAACTTACAGAAATGGTGGGCCCGTTCACAGTTGTACGAGTGGTCAGAAGGGCCCAAGGGACCAGATCTGCATCTACAGGCCTTATGCAGCCAAGCCCAAACAGAAAGACGGGGGCGATATGGTTTCTGGTTCTGGACAAGCATTTATTGGGTTCGGGCCATCAGCACCAACCGGTAGGGTCCGCCTGTGCCAGAGAGAACAGATCCACCAGACCAACACACCCATGGCCCCCTTAGCTTTACCACCCCCAAAGAATGGCGATGATGACAATAATGATTGAACAAACAATAAAAGGCGCCAAAATCCAGGAACAGCACTCTAATCTGGTAACCTTTCTAGCGAAGTCCTGGGCTCATGGTTTTGCTAATATGAAAAATAGCTAATGCTAAATAGTTCTGAAGCAGTGGACAGAATAGTTTTCCTCCCAAGAAGGGTGCAGCAATTCAAATTAGACATCTTCCATAAGCAAACAGAGGAGATTCTAGCTGGGATCTCTGGCTAGCTATCAAGTTTATTAGCTAATGCAAAATACTTGGTCATTGTAGCACCACATGCTTTTGTATGTTTTTTGCTCCAACCGTGTTTCTTCAATAATACAAACACTATTTGCTATCTGGGCCAATGTAACAGCAATGCTAGCATATTCAAGATTTGGTCAGGACTGTAAATAGCTTGGTATACTTCAGAAATTTCCCTAGCTTGTAGAAACTATTCACCTCAAGTTTTGGGTAACAACACATATTTTAAAATTACCTATCTGTACACATTTTCTTCTCAAGAGAGTGCTGGCAGGACAAAGTAAGAGACAAAAGTCGTGGGCCAAGCCAGGCTGAGATATGTGAAGTAAGAGACAAACAACTAAATTCAGTCAGGAAGATATAGGACTGCGTGAAAGATTTACCAGAGCTTGTTAGATCATAGCCGAAGAGAGAGGGATTGGAGTTGCTAAAGACGGGAGGATGGCCGTCCCCCCGCTTTTCCCACTGTGAAGCCACTTGGTGTGGATGTGCTAAATCACCATGCCAGAACTGCTGTTGAAGTTGCATCAGCTGCCTTGCTCCATGAACACCCATTTCTGGCCAGGTTACCTGCTCCAAGTCGATTCCGTTCTTGCAGTTGAAGCCTGCTATCCTTCCACACTGTAAAAGTAGTAGTATAAACATAGAATTAGCAGCTTGAAGATTAAAAAAGAACAAGCACTGAGTTTTCCATCAGCAAAGTAACACACTTTAAACTGCATAAAGGATTGATTCGAGCCACGGTGGGTATCTGATTTTCTTCCAAAGAATTTGCTACCTCTGAAAGTAAGTGTGCATATTTGATACTCTTTAAACTTCAGCAAGTGTGCATACGCAGCAGCAACAGCAGCTGTGGCTGTTAAACATCCACAGCGAACAGGCCCATTGTCAAGACATTCTTGAAAGTAATATGTGGGCCAACCATGATACTCTAATGATGCATTTATCTACAAGAGCAAGCCTTTGATCATTATTGATATGGTTAGTTCAAACTATATCCTTCAATGTGAAATAACTTCAGGGCATCTGCAATCGACCTTGGTTCAGCTGTCTAATTACTAGCAGAGTTCTTTTTCTCTCTAAAGGAGAATCTAAAGTTGGGACCCCGGAGTAGTAATGGTAAACCACTAGGCTGCGAGGTAGACTTTCATCAAACTTCCCATTGGCAGAACTCAAAGAAGCTCTGGGAAATGGAAACCTCATTAATCAGAAAATGACACATTTTGCCATTTCTTCCCTGTATAACTAACTTTCTACCTGCACACATACATGTTATAGTGGTTTGGCTGCTTACAACAGCTGGGTTCAGTTCATACTAGCTGTTCCAACTTCCAACTACTCCCTCCGTCCCAAAAGGAATATAACTCTCATTCCCTGAGTCAAATAATATCACATTTGACCAAATATATATATAAATGAACTAATATTTATGATGCATAATAAGTAACATTAACTACGCATGGAATATATTTTCATAATAAATATATTTGAAAATTTAAATGTTGATATATTTTTTTCCTATAAATCTAGTCAAACTTTAAGATTTTTTGACTCGTCGAGAAACAAGATTTACATTATTTTTGGAACGGAGGGAGTAGGCTAGAACCAGAAAGAACAGCACCCAACTTGGCTAGATCCCGAAATAACAGCAGCATATTTGAGTATGCATGACGTATCCTGCTAGTTTTAACAGAGGTTCTGCAGAAACCAAGCTATTCAGATAGAAAACTTTTCAAAAATAAGTCAATATGGTTTCATTAATCAGGCTTTGTGCTCCAGGAGAAAGCTTTTCTTAGAAATGTAGAAAGCTGACAAAAAGGATGGCAGCATAAGTACCTCCGTGGTCAGAAAGCTATCTAGCCCACCAAAATCGACCCTTGGGTTTACAGCTGCGAGCCTCATTGACAAGTACTGGACCAACCACAATGGCATAACAGTAGTGCGATTAGAAGAAAGATAATGCGTGCTATGTTGGCTAAACGAAAAGGGCTTTTCAGGCTGTACAAGGGATATCAACAGTTACCTCAACTTGCCTTTGGAGAGACTGAACATGATTGATGATCTCATCTAGCACCAGTGCTGTTCCTGATACCTGATACAGCCCAAAAAGCAAACAGCAGCCATTAATTAGCTAATTTGTTTTCCTCAGCTCTTCCTATCTCATTGAGATTTTAAAGAAAGAAAATAAAATGGAAAACTGCCTACAGTTTCATTCCAAATTTGGAATAGATATTGAAAGTAACACTATTTCACAAGAACAATTGAAAAGGTTGGGAGTGGGGGTAGCATCATCAACAAAACCAATTCATGCATGAATAAGCAGCAGCAAGCTTGACTGCAGAACATTGTTCATTGCTTCATAACAGTGAATTACTACTGTTCTAGAACAATTCGTGCATGAATAAGCGGTAACAAGCTTGACTGCAGAACATTGTTCATTGCTTCATAACTGTGAATTACTGTTCTATTTTGTAGCCCGTCCAGCTACAAACAGTAGTTGGAATAAGTCGAGATACTATTGTAGTACAACAAAGCTACCAGTCAGCATTGGCAACCCCTGCACGTTTGTTGAAGGCAACACGAAACCTCACAGGGAATTGACCTACACCACCACTCTTCCATAGTGATTGCCTCCAGAGTGCAGACCAAAAGCTGGCCGCTGTCCTTGCAATGAAACTAATGGTCAAACCACTGCAGCAGCAATGGCACACACCAACCATTCCCCATAAACTCCACACACCAACGAAAACACAACCATCGGCCATTCCTCCCCAATGGCGCCTCTATCCTCCAGCCACCACCTCCACGCACGCAGGCTTGCCTCCACATCCCCACACCACACCCAAAGATGCCGACCCATAATCCATAACATTATTGCGAGCGCAAAAGAGGATAGCAACATTCCATCAAGATAGGAGGATGGAAGTGTCATGGCCTCGACCAAGCCATCACACCCATTAAGCTACCCGGCCCCGGCACCTTTCAAAGCGGCTGCTACATTCTGCCCAGACAATCACACCCAACGCCCAGTTAGGTACGCCGGATCACGATGCCTCCCTCCCCTATCTATCACCCACAAGCGCGCCGGGACGAGGCGGCCGGCCACGACACCCCCCATTCCCATCCCACCCCCATCGTGCAACATGACCCATATGGACATGTCGGGCGCGACGGTGCCGGAATAATCAGCACCGCCACGCTTCAGAACGCACTGCATTTAAGGCCTCTCCCGCGTTGATATTATGGTTTGTTTTCGCAACCAGCGAGGGGACTACTATGCTGCACGGCTATATATGGGCATGCAGCCCGTGGCATGACGGCCCGGCACGAAGCCCGCATTTTTGGCCCAGCACGAGCACGGCCCGGCCCGGTAGTGAGCGGGCCTAGGCTGGCACGACCCGGTACACAAGGCCGTGCCTGGGCCGCACCCAAGGCACGCGGGCTGGCCCGGCTCGGCCCGCAATTTGGTGAGAGGCCCGATGGTGGCCCGGTGACCAATCTGGCCTGCTAAGAGCCCACCACCCTTTTGCTAAAAAAAAGCCACCAGTGCCACCAGCTCCTTCCCCTAACCCTAATTCCTTTCCCAAATCCACTGTGTCGTTTTCTCCCCACAAGACGCTCAAGACTTAGGAGCCGAAGCGTCGCAATGATGCGCCCCCCCCCTCTCACTCGACGACGACGCACTCGGCTCCTACCCACTCATGGTCGCACCGACTCCTCCCCACTCTCGGCAAGACGCAATGCAGTGCCCACCACTGTAGTCACCCTCCTCCTCTCCCGTCCCTCACAACTTAGCTTCGAAGCACGCCAACAATGGGCCTCAAGTAGCGCCAATCTCCCATGCCCCACACACGGCTGGCCGGTCTCATCCTCCACTCCCCATCACGAGACGACCGGCTTCGACCTTCGAGCTCGCCGGCGGTCGGCCACTCGGCCTCAGCGGCGCCGACCACCGCCCATGCCCTAGCGCCTGCCTCCTTCCCTCCCTCTTGCTCCTTCTCTCTCTCTCTCGATTTGTGGGCCTTTGGCTGGCCCGCCCGTTGGCGGCGGCGTGCTTTTCGGGCCAGCCCAGCACGAAAATCAGCCCAACAGGCCGTGCTTGGGCCATCGGCCAGGCACGAAGCCCAGGGCGACACGGCCCGGCGGCACGATGGGCCCAGCTGTGCCGGGCCGGGCCGTTGCCCATCTATATGCACGGCCACAGCAACGAACGGGGGGTCTAGCTAGCATTTTCGACTGCAGTGCGTTGCACAGTTACAGCCAGGGCACCGAGCAAAGGGAGGAGGACCATTCGGAGATGGCCTCTCAAAAGCAGTAAAAAGACCACCGAAAGCAGGAAAAGCAGTGTACTTGGGCGCGTAGGAGAACCAGAATTTACACGACACTAGGCGACACATTACGTATAGTTTAGGCTTCCTTCCAAAGGAAATGTGCTCAGGACTGAAATTGAAGGTGGGGGCGTGCGAAATGCAGATAGAAGTAAAGATGAGGGGGAAAGGAATAGATAGATGGTGAGAAAATGCAGGCAGGCACACCTTACTGCAGCCGGGGACCAGCTCCTTGAGCAGCTCCATCCTCGCATTGATCTTCTCGCGTCTCGCCTGATGAGTGAAAGTATTTTTTAAAAGTCAGAAAAGATAATCAGCTTTTTGATGAGACTGGAGAAGAAGAATGAAAGCGAATAATTAAGTAATTAGCGGCGAAAGCGACCCTGAAAAGGGGGCTACCGGTGACGTCACCGCGTCCTAATCACCCAATCATTGGCATAAACCCCCACGGCAGACCGAATCTAATCCTCCCATGAGGTTGGCTTAAGCTCAGCGAGCGTTGCGATTAGCGGCGCGGCGAAGCGGACTCACCCGCTCGGCGAGGCTGTGGCTGTCCGTGGCCTGGCCCCGCCTGGCCCGCACGTGCACGTACGCCGGCTTCTCGTCGTCGCCGTCGCCGCCCGCGGGCTTCTCCTCCGCTGTCTTCCCCTTCTTCGCCGCCTTCCCCTGCGGTCACGGAGCAATCAGAAGTTCAGAACTAAGCTCCGCCGGCGAGGTCCAGAGGAGCGCGTGGAAATGCAGACGCGTGATGTAGTAGCTAGCACTCTACCTTGGAGGCGCGGTCGACGGTGTCGGCCTTGCGCTTGCCGGCGTTAGCGGCGGCGGCGGGAGGGGGCGGTGGAGGCGGGGCTGGGGAAGGGGAGGACGGGGACGGGGGCGCGAACGTGGAGAAGCGCGCGGCGCGGTCCACGAGGTGCGGGTCGGAGGGGAAGGCTGGCGCGGGCGCTGCGGCGGGGGCTGGGGCTGGGGCTAGGGCTAGGGCGGGCGGCGGCGCCGTGCGGGGGAGGAGCAGCTCGATGGCCTGCGAGGTGGGGAGGCCCAGCAGCGCCGTGAAGGAGCCGCCGCCTCCGCCTCCGCGGGCGCCCGCGCGGGCGGAGGAGGCGGTGGCGGGGGCCAGCGCCGCCTGGATCTCGCCCCCGGCGGCGGGGAGCTCCTGCGGCGGCGAGGCGTGGCGCATTGGCGCTGGCGCGGCGGAGGCGTTCGGCCGGGACGAGGGGAACGGCGGAGGGAGGGAGGAGGACACGGCAGCGGAGGCGGAGGCGGGGGAAGGGGAGAGTGACCCCGTTATTTATAGGGGGGCCGGCGGTGAGGAAGAGAGGTGGTGGTGTGCCGAGCGCGCGCGTGAGCTGCTGCTGCGGAGTGCGTTCGCAGTCGCAGTCGCAGTCGCACGCCCCCCGGCTCCGCTCGGGTCAAGGAAGGAGAAGAGAAGACGGGAGAGGAGTGGAAGAGGGTGTTTGACCGTCTCCAACGACGAACCGGCATCCAAACCCAAAATAATTAATAAAAGATTTAAAATTAACCTCTAACAGAACATTTATATAAAAAACTATTTTAGATTATCTAATTAATATAATCTAAATACAAATATTCTCGCTCCTGAAAATTTATTTATCGAAAAGATTTTCTTTTAGGTATCAAAGAAGATATCGAATAAATATTAAATCTTTTACCTTAAGCGCCCCCAATGAACGAATACCTCTCTTATTTTGGTTGTGGCTGGTGAGATAGCCTTACTGCGGTGCTACGCGGTGCTACGCCTTTTTTTACCGTGTGGGGCCCAGTCGTAGTCCTCGCATGGACCGGGGGACTGCGTGGGAGGGCGGAGGGTGGACACTGGCGGTGAAACTCTGTTGCTGTTGACCTTTACCATTTCCGGTAGTGCGTGTGGTGGACCGGACCGTGCGGTAGCTAGCGTAGCGAAGCCGCTCTGGAAAGCGGAACTCGCAGATGGCCGGCCGCGCAGCTCATCAAAAGCCGGTGTCGGGCCGGTCATTGTGGGACGCGGCCCGGGCTTGGCCGCTCTGGTAAACGCTGCTGCTCCGTCTCGGAAAGTCTCCGGGTTTGATTTTTTTTCTATATGGTTGGATCAGGTTTGGTCTAGGTCGCACCGGCCAGTGAATTTTACCACGTTGCGATTTTTTTTTGGATGAAGAAGTGTCAATGTATAATACTCAGGGTAGAAAATTTTGTTCCGACGGGAAACAAAATGTTCTAGGAAACTTATAAACAGTTTTTTTGAGAAAAAGAACCTAACGAGTTTCAATATTTACTTACTTGTTAGTCGCAAAAAAAACAATTATTTACTTACTTATTCGGCCATGAGAACAACGAGAGAACTACTCCCTCCGTTTTGCCATGTTTGTTGTTAAGGCATCACGACATACATTTCACATTGTCCATTTAGAATTTTATTTTAAAAATGCAGTTATTCTAATATTTTGACTTTTTCCCCTAATTATCTTGATAGAACAAAGACATAGCATGACGACGTTTGCTTAATTGTGTCTCACCCCTGCGAAGCAATTCGGGTAGAATCTGCTCCCTATGTTTCAAACTATAATACGGTTTGGTTTTTCTAGATACGTGATTTTTGTTATGTACTTAGATATAAAATATGTCTACAATGTATGTCGAAAAGAAAAACATCTTATAATTTAGAATGGAGGGAGTAGTTGACACTCTGACCCCCCCTCTCCCTCCTCACTATCTTTCGTTGCCCAAGTGCGCCATCATCGGAAAGCCTGGGCGTGCTCAATATATGTCTCCTCCGCCATTGTGGAAGCCCACGAGGAGGCTGGTGTTACCATTAGCGCACTGCCACTAGGTCTCAACACGATGAGTGGGAGGGGAAGGGGCAGTGGCTATGAGTTGCAAGACTAAGGGTGGAGGAGGTGGTGTTTCAGCCACTTTATATGCTAGGGTTTTGAACAGGTCAAACTAGATTTACCATGGTCATATTTGGATTATGCCTCTAAGCACAGTCCTGCCTACACCAAAAGGATTTCCACGAGAGCCCAGTTGTTTGTGAAAATCAATTGTGTAGTAGCGGTTCCAGCATTGTGTGACAATTTATCAAGTGCATATGTAACATAGAGCTCCTATCGATCAATATGTGAACCACAACTTAAATTGCGAAAGGAAGAGCAATGTAGATTTACTCTTATAAAAAACTTGATTCCTCTCAACCCATATGACTCTTGATGAAAAAAGGGCTTTGGTGGCTACTGTCCTCTTAGTTAGCGCTTATCGATCAATGCATGAGTATTTGTTAGTCCAAAGCTCCACGCATGGAAAGAAAACTCTGGACTTATTCCCCCGTTCCAAATTATAAGTCGCTTTTACTTTTTTAGTTCACTCATTTTCCTATGTATCTAGACATATTATTTTATCTAGATACATAGCAAAATAGATGTACCAAAAAAAATCAAAGCGATTTATAATTTGGAACGTAGGGAGTATTTCGGAAAATGCTTCTCTCCTATGTCGACGCATCGTCCAACGAAGTAGGACTACTGAACAAGACCTGTCCAATCCGTTTTTATCTTTGTGTGTGTGTTATAAAACAATGCTATACGTGTATGGTATGGATGACCATGCATTTCACAAATCACACTGATATTCTCTTCAAACCGATACTTGCTTAGTCTGTACGTATATATTTTATGTGCTGTGGGTAGGGAGGAGCGAGTATCGACAAGATCCTTTTTACTACTGGCACTCCATATCTCTGTGCTAAAACAGTTAGGAGTGCTTCTTGCATGTGCGCCGGTTTTGCTGTGGGGTCTCAACCATTCACAAAGTCACAGCTGCAGATCACCCCGGCAATTGTCCTGGCTGTGCACGGCCACGACACCGAGGAAGCAAGCTCCAACGTCCTAGGACCGAGTGACAACGGCCGGCATGGCCATGTCGTCGTAAACAGCTCGTGCGAAACGAGAGCAGCGGAGGCGGAGCGGCGGGAGCGCCCGTGGCCGGCCGTGCGCGCGTGGCCGTGGCTGAGCCAAGCGCCGCCACTTTTCCGCGGGGAGAGCGAGTAGCGCTTGTGTGGTTCGTGGGAAGGCTGACCTGAGGCTGTCGGCTGCTCTCCATTCTTCTTCTTCTCTGCGCCACGTGGGCTTGCTCGGTTGGTTGCCAAGATCCCAAGATTTTCGGGCGGAGTGGCTGGCGCCTGGCGGGTTGGTGGGATACCGGGGAATCCTGATGTGGTGGGATTTTGCTGCCAAGGTTGTCAGCTGGGCCGGCGGCTCATGGTCATGGGCTGCGAGGTTTTGCATTCTCCAGTTTCAAGGCCCACAGCGCCTGATCAAACAATCTTCTGGAAGTAGAGTAGGAGGTAACCAAATTTCTCTAGTGCTCCAAAGCCTCCAAGCAAGGAATCATAACCACGAGGCACAGCTCACTCTAAGAGAGGCACCAAACAAATATTTTTGTGTGATTGGAAAGTTTCCCAAGTGTCGAAAGATTGGGAGTTGAGATTAGGAGTTGTTGGAGATAGTTTTTGTTTATACCAAAAATCAAGATTGGAAGTGGGTTTTGGAAACTCTCGAGATGCTCTTATCTTTCTATTATCCCCTGAAAATGTCACGGAGAATTCTTAGAGCCTGTTGGGATCCATTGCTCTATACTTTAGAGCTAAAGTCCCAAATAAGTAATTTAAAGTTAGCTCTAAACTTTAGCCCACCTCACATCAAAGCTTTAGATCTCAAAACATAGCTAAAGTGCTCAAAAGTTTTTAGAGGTCTAAAGTTTAGAGCAGGGATCCAAACAGCCCCTTAGGCCTCTTTTCGAATGTGGGATTTTTTTCTTTTATGTACTTTTATGTAAAAATAAATTTATTCCTATAAAATTTTTGTACGATTCATATGAAATTCCTATGGTCCAAAGGAATCCTTGAAGCTTTGCCATCTCCTGTCAACGATCGTCGATGCATGGACTGATATGGCAACCTCAAACTAGAGCTTCACCACTAGACTATGCAAGGAGAGGGACAAATGGACTCTCAGTTTATCAATTTAGAAAACATTTCTAAAACGGCTCTAGTACCATTTTTGTAATACTTTGTGTCAAGTTTACGAGGAGAAACTGGAGAAAGCCACGTTTTCACGGTGCTCCGGTTCCTCCGAGCTCCTTACGATGAACCGTTTTTAAAATGGTTGTTGTCATGGCTCCATGGCAAAAGTCGCAAGAAGCAGAAGTCGAAGCTGTGTATAAAAGACACTTATTTTAAAAATATGCATTGTATGCAGGTAAGGTTAGATTCAAAGTTTTTTTTATTTTTTTTCAAGTGGACTCATGCTACAGTTTGGCCTGGTATATATGGCCTATGGATCGATTTATCCACTCGAGAAGTGGAGATGACATCATTTTTATGTATTACTTTCTCTATTCTAAAAATATTTACTTTGATAAATTTATAAAAATACACAAACATCTAAAACATAAAACTAGATTAATTAGATACACCATAAAATATATTCTAATAGTGAATTTATTTGATACATGGATGTTACTTAATATACATTTTCTGTAAACTTGGTTAAAATTAGACAAATTTGACTTATGACAAAGGTTAAACTAGTTACAATTTAATTAGAACATAGGGAGTATCTTATAATACTTTGATGTTAAAAAAAGTCACCATGATGCGATATGAGCATAACTCAGCTAGGTAGGTTTCTTGTAGCGCAACGTGTCCATCCGGTTCAAGTCGTTGGCATGACAGATACTCATATTTTTCTAAATTTATTTTAGATTTTATTGACGCTATTTTCTCAACAGTAGGTGATATGACTATCAATAACAAGACGGCTGAAGGCTCATATGTGACTAAAAAAGATTCATCATGTTCAGTCCAAGGCAAAAGAAATTACTATAGTAATTAAAAATAAAGATCGATTGTTATGACGATTGTCCAAGCTCAAGTAAAAGGGGAAGGAGGAGAAGGTAGAGGAGGAGGACCATGCGAGAAGCTGGTTTTGGCTTGTGTTTTCCTTTATTTTCTATTTTTGTGCTTAGGATTTGGTTTAGGGTTCAAAATGGAATTTGAATTTGATTCAAATCCTCCCAAATTAGTAGACAAGCACAGAAAACAGAAGGCAACTCAAACTCATGAATGCTTGAATACAACAATTATGGTATGCATAATTTAATCATGATCCTAATTTAAATTATGTATAT